GATTCGTATTCCAATTTTTACACTTTCCATACATTTCTTATCCGCTCAAAAACATCACCTACGAGGAAACTCAACGAAGAAAGTGACGAAAATTTTACCGATAAAAGAATAATTTTTTTGACGTCTGTTATCAATTTTATTTGGCATTGGAAATTCTTCGTGAAAGACGTGGAAATTTTATTATGTTGAAGTTTCATCAATTTTCCCAAACTTTACTATAATTAGAATCGGTTTGCAAACTAGATCTGTGATAGGTTATTTCAGCCAAGCAAATCTACTTGAAAGGAAAACCTCCAATTTCTTTTCCCCTTGAGGTCTGACCACATTTCGAGAGAGTCGAAAGAATTTTCTGGTGAAGTCTAATCGAGATCGTTACTCGAAGTAAAGAAAACAAAAGAGAGTTAATCCTTGCCCATGAACTTTTTATTTTAACAAGAAAATTACTCAATACATTCAGGCCTTTCGAGAACCCTCGGTCAAATTAATCAATCTGTCCACCTCTACCTAGTGTATTAATAAAATATATCGGCTCGTTTTCGCTTAATGATATAATTTTATTAAACTCGAAAGGCGTAAACTCTTAATTTTGTTTAAAAGCATTTTTAATTGTAGACACTACTAGAGATATATCGAAAATATTGATTCGTTTTAAGCGGAACAAACTGTAGGTAATATGAGAAGTTGGACACGCGATATTTCAAAGCCGTTCTGACATTAAACTCCTATTAAAGTGCACTGTATACATTTTCAACGTATGTCATTCCATGTTAATCCACCTAGAGCTAACGTTATTACTTTTTATTAAATAGGTGATCGAAAAAAGTTTAATTATCATAAGAATAGAAAACTACATGTAGGTAAATAGAACAATGTGATGGTCCATCGAGCCGGATATCTAATATATTTATTGGCGTATTAATGGATATACTAAAATTTGAACGGGGAAATTCTGTCTTAAAATTAATTAGTCTTTCATTCCACAAGTGCTTTCCATGCTGGCATTCGCTATTACGTTACATACCTATAGCCCACCATTCGTATTACAAATGCAGTTTTCTTATTTTCGTTTTACATTATTTGACTTTCAAGTAGGTGAAGTAATAAATATTCAAACAGTTCTTTTATCAAGCCAATCTGTTTTGTGTACTTGTAACATTTTTCTTGTTATATTCGAATATTATTTGCTTCCGTTAGATTAAACAACCCTGTTGTAGATAGGTATTTGTGTCAGGACCTGTTGTTCTTATTTTTTCTTTGTGTACTTGTTTAAAAATAAATTATTATTCACCCTGATAGAATCCCTGGGGACAATGCCTCCCCTGATTGATACGAATCTCTTTCTTGGAAAAATAAAACAGAATTAGTACATAAATACAATTGTATAGTGGGTGTCCTTAAAATCCTTGCCAACATTTTATTAATGTATACATATATCATGTTCCTCATTCCTACTATGAATTTCAACTAACAATAAAACGTTTTACCCTTAAATAGTAGAAAAAGATGTACTCATTTTAAGAGTTAGTGAGTTACAGAGTAGAGCGGTAACTTTTGAAGTTGATATTAAAAATCTTCAAATGTGGGTTACCTATACAGGCGACGGACGTTTAAAGCATGCACAACCCAGACTTTTATCTTTTTCGCCTTTTCTACGTATTTTATAGCAGTACATAATGGTTTATACATAAACTTTAACATCGATTTAATTTTTGGTTAGATTGAAGTAACTTCTTAATTTTTTATTTGGTATGCAGTACCTATATGAGTTAATTTAGTGTTTTTTTTTTAACTTTCGAGTATAAAATCGCTTTGGAAATTAGTGAAACGTACGAAAATTTCGTACCACTATACGCAGATAAATTATCATAGCCAGGAGCCGTTAAATGAGATGTTTACAGGATCGATAGTGCCAGAGCTAAAGGCTTACTTGCACTTTGCGGTTACGTTGTTTTGTAACAGGGACTTCCAGAAGATTTGTAATTTACATAATAGATTGGAATTAGCAGCTTTGTTAGCAAACCTTTTGTACGAAATCTAAATTTTTTGCTATGTTAAAGCTTAGCGTAGGTGTGTTTGCAGTATCAAAATATTTTGCCTTAAAATAAACGAATTAACTATTAATATTCCGTTGTTTAGGCATCGTATTCATTCTACTATTCAGGAAATAAACACAACGGTGAACAAATAACCTGTTCAACGTGTATTTTACATATCATTATTGATACAAACACCCTCAAGTTACCAATATTTTATTAACGTACGACAAACAGTGATTTCTTTACTTTATTTGGGAACAAACCGTAAAATATCCACAAACCGAAATGGGAAACTTAGTTGTGATTGACACCAACATACCTAAAGTTCGTGAAGGGGTGGAATATTAAATGCCCCTAATTGTAGGTTTCAACGCTTATAACTTGTGACAATATACAAAACTGATATTTAATAGTAGGTACGTCAAACAAATATAACACTTCCGGTGTATAAACGCGAGTATAATCGCTTGTAACGAACTTCTGAAGGATTGTTTGCCTATTTTAAACAAGTTGCTCTCTTTTATATTACCGAAACAGTAGATAAAGTTAATCAAAAGATGCAATTGATCGTGCATATGTGAGATGTTGCTAAACGTGCAATGTAGATTTTGCTAATAAATATAGGTCTCGTACGGACCCAAATTTAGTTTTGATGGTGTTTATTGATTGCTCCACCGAACGTTTATTGCGTACAATTTCAGTAATGACTTGTTAATTTCGTCGCGAATACATTCTCGCCATGGTGACATTTTGTTTGATGTATGGAGTTGTCAGTTTGATCAATCCTCAATTGACCTTACGTTTATTAACTTAATTTATGATGATGACTATTCCAGTGATTGTCTTTACGACTTCTAGTGTAATTATAGATCTGAATATTCTAGGAAACTAACCACGTTCATTTATACGATTAGATTTTATTTGTCATTCGTCGTAATGGGGGCGAACGCGTTTCTGGTGTAATATTGCTTTTATTCTGGGAATGAAGAAATATCCGAAAAACGGTGAAAACACTTCCTATTTTGAATTGCTGAAAACGAATGGGGAAACAGAACAAATAAAATCTGCGTAGATGCGAAAAAATGGTAGCGTCTGTAAAGCACTAGATTTCCGACGTGAAAAAACAGTAATATAATGGGTAATAGGGTAATAAGTGTATACTGGGTTTAGCGGCAAAACAAAAGATGTTCTTCATACGTGTCACTTGTCTTATTAATCGTGTTTACAACAGCAGCATCCAAAACTATGCAGAATATGAATCGATTATTCTCTGTAGGGTTATGATAGTAAAGTACAGAAGAATATTTGAGTGTCCTGCGGCGCTCGTTAAGGATCAGTGTTATCACACGTAAAGGAATATGAATATTAGCGATTTTTAAACTGTGCGAATATATTTGGTATGTATTAGTTAGCTAAATCCACATGGCGAAGTAAAAACGAAGCGGAAAGGATTAATGATATTGAACTAGTTTATATCCGAAAAGGGTTTTGGTACCTATATGAGTACCTAAGTAACGAAGAAGTAAATTTAATTATTCACACATGCGTGTAGGTAAAATGAAGAGAGAATTAAATGAACTTGGGTTCGTATAACACATGTTAAAATAACGTTCTTTGTTTTTACTAGCAGTAAGAATGTTATCCTGTAGTGGAAATCTAATTTTTAGGATTCAGAGAGGCTTCTCTTGTCTCTATTATCTCCCTCGAACTCACAAACCCGTAATTTTAACTGTAGTAAAAGCAACAACTAAATAAAAATTGATAAAGTAAACTAATTTATAGTTTAAAAGTAATCCCTACAGGAGAACTGATAGGTAATATCGGTGCCCGGTAAATTTACCTATTGTATAAAAAGTTTTATTTTAATTTGATCAGTACAGTTAGTTATTGATTATGCGTCGAAAAGTTTGGGTTGTTAGAATATTAGAAACAAAAAATTTGAGTTTAAAAACTGCAAATACTAAGAAAATTTATTATCTTCTACTATTTATCGCTTTCAATATAAATTTCCATAAAACACATCTGTTTTTAATTGCTTTTTTCAATTGAATAGATATATTTGTTCTCTAAATAGGTAGATGCTTTAATTTTTAATGATGCGCCAGGAAAAATGGGTCAATAGGTACCTAACTACCTAGCAAAAGTGAGCTTCGTGCATTCCGGAATAAAATTTTACACGAACTGTATAATATTGAAATTATTTTTGTTGTAATTCAGATTAGCCGCAGATTTCGCTGATGTGTTTTTAATTTTTCCGTAATCAATTAAACAAAAAAGGATAGTAGGTGATAAGAAAAGTTGAGGATTATTTCCGTTGTATAAGTATAGAAAGTTATTGGCATGTTAGTGTTCCGGAAACAATACCGAATAGTCCGATCCAAGTTTATATAGTCTAATGTTCTATCAGCGCTTAATCTTGGCATAGATTAATAAGTCGCTATATCTTTCCGTAATGAAAGTGCCGACCTAAAATATGTGTATAAGTCGTGTCGACTTTATTGAATTTTGCCGGATCGAGAAAACGGTGAAAATAGGAAAATTTGTGACTTGTGAACGACTTTGAGAATGTTTGAATTGTAAAGCGGCACTTTATGTTAATTTTCATTTATACTTGAAACTAGCAATCAGTCGGAAAAAGAAGGCGGAGAAGAAATGTTCGCCGAAATTGGAACAGCTATTGGTAAAAAGTGCTGATTTCATCTTCTGCAAGCCTTCTTTCCCGTCGGCTGCTCTTGATAACATTCTCCCGAAATCGAGCAGAAAACTGTCAAGTTTGTCGCCTTAAATTTTAATGAAAACTTGATCCGTTTTACCTCTTTGTTTAAACATTATCGTTAAATTTTCATGAGAATCGAAGAAATCTCTATCAGGTTTCCCTTCTTTTTTTAACAGACCCAGAAAATAAGGCAGTGCAATACGTTTGCACCTAGTTCTAAGTAATAACATTTTTTCTTTTTTTTTCAGGATTGGCTCAGGTGCAGGTGAATTTGGGTAAGGTGTTGTCTAAATGGCATAATGTAGAATAGACACTTAAAGATTCTACATCAGCAGCCTTAACAGATATAATTTTCTTGCTAGCTAAATTTGCCGCATATTTATTCGTGATGAATAACTTTTTTTTATTACAGGTTCATCCAATTTTGTTATGTATTCGAAACGTTAAGGTGCCATTCAATCATTTTATTTTCGCGAAAAGTTGGTGGCGTTCGCGGTCGGTAGTGATGTGAAATGTATTTGGTGATTAGTTACGAAATGATATGGTCGATGGTCTCCCCTGTCAATCTGAACAGAACGTGGACCGTGCACCCACAACACCCTGGACATCCGACGCGGGACAGATCAAGGTTTCGGTGAACCCCATGGTGGTCTAGCCGACGCCTCAAAGTAACTCACTAGTAAATATTGTTTCAAATAGACCTGGTTGGCAAATTTTTATATATTGCTATATTGATTTTTATTATTTTGGGGCTAATTTGGTGGTACCGTCCAATAAGATAAGTTACAAACTGTAATTTAGTGTATTATTGGGCTACCCTGTGTGTTCTATTGTCAGTTGTTAATGTATTAGGGACAGACCAATGCAGGTGCTGCGCCTGTGACGTCTAATTTTAATAGCAATTTGGGCTCTGTGATTACAACTGCTGTTTTAGGTCCTTTATATTTTTCTAGTTGTTGTCTTTGATGTGACAGGTATCAAATTACAATTACAATGCAGGGTGTTTCGTCCACGCTCTCATATTTGGGTGTAGTGTCGTTCCACTCATATTACACCATGTACCAAACCTTTCTGTATGTTTATGTACTTTTACACTTGCCAATCATTGGGTCTGTTTGATTTTTTTTTTCAGATTTTAAAGTAGTAATGTAGAAGCGTTATTCAGCTTTTAATTAACAGCATTATCGTGTTGATTTTAAAAATTTTAAAATTAATTTAATTTTGCATGTTGATAATATAATTTCTTCAAAAGAAAGATCAAATTACACAGTTACTGTAGTTTTTCATCAAAATTATAGATAATATTAGATTAGATACTTGTGTTGACAAAAGAAGCATAAAAATTATTCACATTGAAAGATTACTATGATATAAATTCAATAATTCCTTTAAATGTTAGTAAAGAAGTAGGTACTACCTATCAGTAAATATTCACAAAAAATATATTCGCGTTCGACAGTTTTCTCACTTAAACTCACCCTGACGTTATTGTTTATTAGTTGTATTTAGTATTTGATTAGTTCTTTACAATTTCTTGTGGTTTTGTCGTGTTTCTGTTGTTCCAGGTCTCGATTCGTTAAAGGTTATTCCATATTCGGGACAACAGTCCGCTCACTTGTATACCTATATCATACCATACCTTTCCTGATAGGGGATTAAAACGACTAAAATACTTCGAGGCCATTTTGTAGTAACACTTTGTTAGCAAGCCTAAAAGATACTAAAACAGAATAAAAACGTCGTAACTTTATCGATCACTATAGGTACTTTTTAAAGCTTTCCGTGGCTATTTGTGTATGGAGAAGTAACTTATTTTCTTTTCATTTTAATATTTTTTTTTTTTTTTTCGAAAGATCAAAATTCAGAACTTAGAATTGGACCGCCTGACTAAACTTTCAGTCTGTGTTGACAAAGCCTTCGGTGAATAAACAGTAATATTGAATAATATATAAAGTGCTTGAAGTGCCTTTGGGCGACAGTCTATGGAACTCAAGTTTCCTCAAACATACAAAACTATCGACTTCTCCAGGCAGGAAATGGTTGGAATGTTTCGTAACTTTCAAATGGAAAAACTAATAATATTATTGAAACAAATAATGCTGGTACCTGCAACCATAAATACTGTCCAATTTTACGGTGAATGTTCTGGACACAATCCATACGTCTTACATTAAATACCTTTGCAAAAGAAGATCGAAAACCTTTCCCGTTTGCAATGTACTTTGTAGCTTCCCAAAATTCATATTTAACAGTTTCAATCTATTATGAGAGCAAGTTTCTCTTTGCAGACCTTATGATTATAAAACGCGGCGTGGTTGTTTTTGAATGTGCCATAAACTTTAGGGTTCGTAGACCCACAATGCTCATTAGATTGGAGATCGACCGCAATAGCACTTTCAATGTATCATGAGGGCAAGTTTCTCCCTGTGGACCTTCTCATCTAAAAACGCAGTGTGGTTTTTGTTTTAATGTAGCATAACTGAAGCTTAAGGTTTGTAGACCCACAATACTCATTAGATTGATAGATCGACCGCAATATGTTTTGCAGCTTCTCAAATTTGTACTAAGCACATTATGAGGGCAAGTTTCTCCCTGTGGACCTTCCCATCTTAAAACGCAGTGTGTTTTTTAAACATACCATAACTGAAGCTTTAGATTCCTAGACCCACAATGCTCATTAGATTGATAGATCGACCGCAATATGTTTTGCAGCTTCTCAAATTTGTACTAAGCACATTATGAGGGCAAGTTTCTCCTGTGGACCTTCCCATCTTAAAACGCAGTGTGTTTTTTAAACATACCATAACTGAAGCTTTAGATTCCTAGACCCACAATGCTCATTAGATTGATGTATCGACCGCAATATGCTTTGTAGGTTCCCAAAATTTGCAATTTAGTATTCCCAACACTTTATGTGGACAAGATTTTAGGTTCCATAAAGAAACTATACGTTCATGGGCATATAACCCTCATTAGAACAATAAATCAACCAGAATGAGCTAGATGAAAAGCTAGTTGGAGACATATTACAAGCAGAAACAGGAGTTAAAGGGGCAGGGGTAGATCTAGATTATAATATCGTTCGCAAATAATTTTATTTATAGAGGTGTGGGATGTTGTACAAATTTATATGAATTTAGGGTGAATGATGAGCATTTAAGTACTGCGATGGTTTGTCGTGAAACGTTTATAAATGTAAGTGGTTAAGTAAGTGCTGCTTGATATTTCCACTTTGTCCCGTAAATATTTGAAGTTGTGACACCTTTCCCTTAATTCTGCCCTGTCAGTTAATGGTGCGGTATGTTGATCGTTGTTTATAAAAAGATTAATTTATGTATGCTAGCCGAGAAACAATTTGCGTTAGAAGAGAACTGTGTGCACATTACGGCGGATATTTGTTTTATTATTTCCTATTCTTTCGCGGCAACTTATCCGGGAGCATTAAGACTCGGGGCGAAATATGGGGCTTTAAATGACTTCCTGTTAGATTCGGGTTACAAATTACACCTTAAAATAACGTAATTTACATCGAAAACCGTAAAATGCGAACGATTAAATGGTTCTTCAAACTCTTTTACTTTGTTGCAAAACGAACAACTACCAATACGTACCAAGTAACTACCCTTATACATATCAATAGATTTCTATCCTTTTGACTCCTATAAGTAATCGAATATTCAAGTTTTATCCTGAAATTTGGGCACAATAAATCGTGATATTAGCAGGACGACTTATTCCTTCTTTAAATGTGTCACTACGATTATGATTTAAGATGTAATTTTGAATTTAGAATTATGCGAGGGAATTTGCTTAGATGATTTCGGGGTAATTACACTTACGAAGAAGGGGATACAAGAAATATAAAAGGGATTGCCTCAAACGCTAATATATTCATGAGTGCATATAATAGGTTGTGACCCGGATGGTTGATAAGAATTACAACTAATATAAAATAATGTTCTGATTATTTCCAAAAGCTTCGTAGTGGTTCCGATTTATGGACCGCGGCTGCTAGTTTTGGGGTACATCAAAGACGCCATCGGTATCGATTACCTGCGGCATTCGTTCGCAATAATAACGCTACTGAATATTCTGCCTGATAGCCCTTTTACGGTGTAGCTAGAGGAGCCAAAATTGGCTTGAATTAAGTTTGTCTCCAATAGTCTTACAAAACTCAATATGACAGAGGTTCTAGCAAGTGTTGCAGGCCGGAGCCCGTTGGGTTTTGTAGTCGTCTTTATCTTTATACAGTTTCGTTTTGTTTTGTATTTAGTGCTAGAGATAGTGTTAGAAATTTCCTAGGGAAAAAGTGTTGTATGCATTTAAATAAAATCAGGCGAGAATCCTGTGCATGTTTTAAAAGTAGGTGACTGTAGAATTCAGGATACAGACAGCTTAATTTTGATCTTTCGAATGGAAAAAAGCTTTTCAATGTACGGAGCAAATCGCCGAGTTTTTGCTCTTCTATTTTCTTCCATCAATTTAAGCTTTTGAATTTCGTAAAAGGCTCATTGTACCGAATAAAATTTAAGTAAGTAATTAGACTCCGTACTCCATTTGCCTCTTTTTTCATCAGTCATTTCTTTTTGTTTGTTTTTTCTTTTGCCCTTTTGTTTAAATTTACTTTTTAATTACACCAAAAGTATAGGAAAGTAGCTATGTACCTGGCGTCAATAAAAGTAAAATTTTATTCTGATTTCTGATGATTTCGCTTTCGTCCTTGTATTTTTCGTTTACTACCTCTTCCCTCTTTCGAAAGGTGAACGCGTCTGAAACACGTTTGTCGTATTTAAGCGTTTATTTTTAGTGTACACAAAACGTCAAAGCTGCCTTTATTGTCAAAGACTTGATTCAGTTTGTGAGGCACCTGCCACACACTACTACATACAAAAGCTTCACCTAAACGTTAATTATTTGCCAACGAACTAATTGGTTTTATATTGTATATTCTCATAGGCGCAACTTTATTCTAACTTATTATTTGTATTACGATCAAAGCGCACTAACTATAAGCTTAAAAAAAATCACGGTTCATTGTAATTTTTCAAAATTTAAGCTTGAATGCGGCGTTTTCAGTTCTGCATGTTCTAAATACCTCGTAGGACCACACTGCTCATTAGATTGGTAGATCGGTTGCATTATGAGGGCAGGTTTTTCCTTGTGGACCTTCTGATAATAATAAGCTGCGTGGTCGTTTTTGAACGTACTATAACTAAAGCTTTAGGTTTGTAGACCCACAATGCTCATTAGATTGATAGATCGACCGCAATATGCTCTATAGCTACTAAAAATTTATATTTAGCACCTTGAATGTATTATGAAAACAAGTTGCTCCTTGTGGACCTTCTGATCTTAATAAATTGCGTGGTCGTTTTTGAACGTACTATAACTAAAGCTTTAGGTTTGTAGACTCACAATGCTCATTAGATTGATAGATCGACCACAATATTCTTTGTAGGTTACCAAAATGTGTGCTTTAGTATTTTCAGCATATCATGTGAACAAGATTTTAGGTTTATAATCTGTCTGACTTTCCTGAAATGAATTTTCCATACAAAAACTTTAGGTTCATGGGTCTATAACCCTCATTAGATCAATAAATTGACCGGAATAAGCTGCAATTTCTCAAAATTTCACCAGGAAATCGCTCCAAGCTTACAAAAAAGTT